TAAGATGTACTACATGTTGCATCGAAGTACATGTTGCAAAAACTAGTAAAACGCGAATAATTTCCGAAAACTCTGTATTCCATTAACGCGCATCCGATGACCATGGATGACCCAGCTCACTCTATTTTTGAGATAAATTGGGTACATCTCTCTTTCGGCTGAAGTTTTTAAAGTTCTGTTTTCGCAAAAGTTCAAAATCCGTATCAGGTCATTCATTGAAACGGAAATGATCCACAGAAAAGGCAGTTAAATCCGCGATATTTTCAAAAACATTTTTTACCGAATTTCGTGTTTTTGGAATGTCAGTTCCCGTCGTTTTACTAGATGGATTTTCACGAAGAAGATTTTATTTCATCCGAAACGTAAAAAACCTTACTGATGAGTTTTTTTAGAAATTTGATCGCACAACATTTTTACCTTCATATGAGTATTACTCTGAAGCTGTGCGAACTACATACACAAAATATATATCAAATTATTCAGATTCGCGACTACAATTATCTTATAATCGATTTTTAGATATTCCTGTTTGAGTATTAAATCTAGAAGTAAAATCAAAAAACACTCAAAATCGAGCTTCAAAATGTCAGCATAATTTAAAGGTAGATGCACTTAAAGTTTTAACAAATGATACACACGAGACTTAGTCCCCATTTTATAGGCTTCTAGTTTTACTTTGACACGAATGAGTGAGAACGATAGAGAACATAAAAAACTGGTTAGCCTCAACCTGTTTTTACATATTTTTTTACATTAAAGTAGACGCAGCTTCCACCAAAATAAATGTTTGCAACGACAGATCAATTAACCCAAAACTATTCACTTTTTTTGATATACATAAGTAGTTCCCGAGTTATCGGGGGGTGAACCTCCGCTTCAGCTTTGTTAAAAAATTGGCAATATTGTCCATATATATAAAAATTAATTGCTGTTTGTTTGTTTGATCAGTGTTAGCTATAGACCAGGGCTGTCCACACTAATACATGCAAATGGTTGTTATTGTATTTGTTTCAAATACACAATTTTCAAATTTATGTTTCTCTCTTATTAAACTGTGAGAAAAATTTTAAAAACGTGTATGATATATGTTCCTATATAAATATAGATTTGCTTCTGTTTCGCCAATCGACTCTTTCTGAAATAATTTTTCCCAAAAATTTCCCAATTTTTTCGTTCAGTGTATGAAAACAAAAAGGAATGAATGACAATTTTGAAAATATTTTTTATTTTCAAATGTTTCTATTTTTATCATTGTGTGTGAGAGAGTTTGGACACACACCTACAGCCCATGGGACCTATTATGGGCACTGCTGCTATAGACTCCTAAACTACTGAACGGATTTTAATGAAATTTTCATAGCTGATTTTGAGTGCATTTGTGATATCATAGGGTACTTAATTTTTTGATAGGGACAGGGGAACCAATAGCCCCATACAAATTGTCCCTTTTATTACATTAGATTTGGTCATGTTGAAAATAAGGAATGGTAAAAAAGTGCAATGATAGTAAATATACAAACCACAGATATATATTATCCAATGATGAATATATCTGTTTTCTAAGTTCATAAACCACTTTCCTTTAGGAATTCGCAATTTGTTTTTATGAAAATGATAAAGATAGAAATATCAGATACATTTGCACTGAATAAGAAGTGCAGTAAATAAATGTACTGTATGCCAAAATTAGGCAATTCACAAAGTGTGATATGGTGCCCATTGGTTGTATTTGCTAAGCTTTCCCATTTTTTCCCCGATTTTTTCCGTGACTATAGAGGTATTTTCTATGCACATATTTAATGCAACTATCCTACATAGGATATGAGCATTTGGAAGATACAGTTCCTTATTTCTGAAAAATATCCAATATCAAGAAATACAAATGCAATATCGAAATCATATTTACTTTTTCTTCGAGTTTTTTATAAAAATCAATATAGACAAATTGGTACTGCACACATTTTTGCACTCAACCATATATTGAATGAAAAGCCCATAACTTGGCATAACTTTGACTTGTTAACTTTGACTTTGACTTTTGATATGTATCTTCAATGATCAGGTCTCAGCATGTGTAATCCAAAAAGTATATATTTACTAGTAGCGCATTAAGTATAATGCTCATCTAAAACATTTTGTTGCCTGTGAGCAACATTTGACCATAAAGGGTTAAGTGTGCTAAATTAATCAGTACATTGCACCCAATTTTTCGTAAAAATTTTGTTTTTCTCTAAAAAAAAAATTTACATTTACTTTGATTAAAAAATAAAGCAATAACACAAATAAAGCAAATACACAAAATAATTTAATGTTGGAAGTACAGAGTATAATAATAAACCATTTTATGGACTGTTCCCGTACTGCAAGAATCTACTCTATTTTACTATTTTCTTCGATATCATAAGGTAAAATTCGTTATCGTAGTAAAAAGTAATAGATTCTTGCAGTACGGGAACACACCATTAGTATTGGTAATTTTACAATTATAAAGAGTTTGTGATTTGTTGTGTCTGAATCGAAGTTTTTACATTTGCGCAGAAGTATCCAGAATTCTTGAATTTTTGAAGGAAGAACATGCTTGGAAATTATTAATAAGAGTATACATTAAAATGATGATACACTACTATCATTAAAATCTGAATATATGTCAACAAAACTTCACGGATGTCAACCTGTAGTAACTCCAATACGTTATGCAAAGTTTTGTCTCAATCGGACAAACATTGGCAGTATGGTGCTCCATTTACGTAAAATCAGACAAAACTATATATGTGAACTACATCTAAATCTGAACCAGTTCCAACAAAACTTCGCATACATCAATCAGGTCCTAATTCAGTACTCTGTATGTTGCCATTGTATGTCAATCGGACAGACAATGGCAATATGGTGCTCTATTTACACAAAATCGGGTGAAACAATATATTGGAGCTATATCTAAATCTGTATCGATTCAACAAAACTTCACATACATTAATCTGGACCTAACAAAAATACATGGACGGACGGACATGCATAAATCGACTCAGCAAATGTATCTTAATTCGTTTTGCCTGTTACAAATATATGCACAAAAACATAATACCATGTACCACAGTGTGGTGAAGGATAGCAAATTCTATATGGATTAAAAAAAAACTTTGAAGTGAAATGAATTACAAATAGTTTGATCAACTACAAGATATGTTGAATGTCGTTTGTTTTATGTTTTTATGTTTCAAGAAAACAAAAATTACCACGCAACAATCGTCAGTTACCAATCAGGAAGGCAGGAGAACACATGGACGTTTCACACACTTTTGTAGTGTTTCGTTTTTTTCGGATAGCCCCCATATAAGGGTACCCCCAATTTTCGGTATTTTGAGGTTCTTGAGTGCGTTTTTTAACTGAATTCGCTCAAATTTGGTACTTTGAGTTTTTATGGGGTAGCAACTCTCCCTACCAAAAATTATAAATAAAGGTCCATTTTTCGGATAGCCCCCATATAAGAGTACCCCCAATTTTCGGTATTTTGGGGGTTTTGATCGCATTTTTCGACCGAATTGATAGTAGTTTAGTACGTCGACTTTTTAATAGGTATAAATTATAAATATTGGTCAATTTTTTCTGGCAGCCCCATATTAGGGTACCCCCAATTTTCGATATTTTGAGGTTCTTGAACCAAATTCTTTTTATACCATTCACTACACTTTGGTATAGGGTATTATGTCTGTTTGCGCCAATGCGGGGTAAATGTAATAAGGGGGAGAAAACAATATCACCACACAATAAATAAATAAAAACACGATTAGTTTTTATGTATAAATATAAAGGCAGAACCCGAGTTTTATTGATAATAATTATGTGGGTTTTGGTAAACAATATTACCTGTGTGCAACAATATGCGGGGAGCGCGAACTTAATATCGACACGATACAAGAGCGGATCAATCAACAATAACAAAAAAGCCAACGTTCAGAATATGAAGTAAAGCGGCGGCTTTGGCGCAATTCGCCACTCGTTGAAATCTGTTGACATTTGACAGATTTCAACGATGCTCTAAATGAATAATTATGCGTTAACCCATTGTAACGTACGACAACAAAATATAATTTAATATCGAAATTATACATGCCGGCAACTTTACAACATATTGAGATGTTGTAACTTAAATACAATATATTTTTTTTAATTTTCTTTAATAATTCATTTTTTTCAATTTAATTTTCTTCTTTCTTTTTCAAAACATTTTGTAACGCTACACGTCACATATGACCGACAAAACCCAACCAAATATGGTATAATGGGCTATCGGTAACCCTGGCGTCGCTTGCACCCGATGTGTTATGACCCTGGCATAGACTTCCGGCCCGAGTACCAAGGCCACCCGACCAGGCCTATTAAAATCAGGATCTGCCAAGGGAAGACCAAAAAAAGAGTCCTTAATGCGATCGGGAATCGCCGCTGTAGGCGTAAACGCATGGTCCAAATTGTTCACCTCTGCTACAATTAATATGGACTGACTCCGGTCTTAAATAGAGCTAAGGGTCAGCCTACATATGTGGCTACCATCGATTTGGGAAGTAGGGAGCCGAAGACTACGAACCAGAGAGGCACATATCTGACTCTGCCTACTACACTGGTCCAATACCACCCGTACGACAGTGGGACGGCCGGACGAAGCCAATTTGACAATCAATGTCGGGGATAAACTTATTCCAGTCTGAAGGGACATAAGCCTAAAAGACCTAGTTGTGTGCTGGACACATTTTCAGTCGGACGACTATACGGACTTGATCTCGGACGATTTCGGTAATCATTATGCGGACGACGCCGACGATTATTGTGTGGGGTCTAGCCACGGTCTTCTTTTCGTCATGAAGAAGTGTGTGGTGATCTTCATTGCATACAGCGCATTTTCTTTTGCTTTGGCAGTCCTTGGCACGGTGGGATTTAGCAAGACACCGTATGCAGTCATTATATTTTAGAACTATTCTTCTTCGCATATCAGCATTCATTACCCGGAAGTCACTACATCTATCCAGCGGGTGCATGCGATCACAAAGGCGACATTTATGTGAGGCCGCAGATGAATCATCAAAGGTAGATTCGGACCTTGAATTTGAGGCCGACTCCTCCGAATGAGAAGTGGCAACCGGAGCCGCAGATGGATCCAAAGATCCGGACTCGGTTCGCGAGGTTTCAATATGGGGGGTATACACAGGGATCGGAGCCGCAGATGAACCCACAGATATGGATTCGGACTCGGTTTGCATGGGTGTAACCGCAGATGCGAGGGCCACATATGAATCCATGGCAATAGACTCGGACCCAGGCTCTGAGATTTGTACAGCCGCTATTGTCTCAACTAGAGCTGCTTCCACTGCAGCCGATGACATTCCACAATGGGGTTTGCTCGGACGAGGTCCAACAGTCTCCGTACCGTCATCAACGTTCAAAAGTTCTTCCTCAGTGTAGACTTTTGCGGACATACTATTTAATAAAAAGATAAAAAATTTAGTGGGACGCCGGAGTGTGGTCGGTTAAAACGACCAACTTGGTAATGGGCCGTCTTACAACGCCGTTTTCAGTTCGAATGTCGGCGACTCGAACGTGACCGTCAGAACCGGGATAAACATTTTCTATACGACCTAATTTCCATGAAGTCGGGGGTAGCTGATCATGACGAACAACGACAAGATCATCTGTAGCAATTTCGCGTTCTAGAAATTTCCACTTATATCTCATGTGTAATTGTTTTAAATATTCCTCTTTCCACCTCAAACTAAATTGGTGGGCGAGGGCTTGAACTTTCCTAAACCGATTAACTAAACTTAAACAACATCATCTAAACATCTGGATTCTCCGACATGGCAGACAAGGGGCGAGAATTCAAACATGCCTCTATTCTGGCCAAAACTATAGCTAATTCTTCAAACGTGAATTTTAGATTTCGAGCTTGCTTTTGAAAATGCATTTTGAAGCTTTTGACTCCAGCTTCCCATAACCCTCCCATGTGAGGGGCACCAGCAGGAATAAAATGCCACGATAGGCCCTGATGGGACAACGATGAGGAAACTGAATCGGCACTTTCTCGTAAGAAATCTTTGAAATTCCTTTGAATTTCCCGCGAAGCTCCAACAAAATTTGTTCCATTATCCGAAAAAATGGAATGGGGACAACCACGACGAGCAATAAATCTATGCAAGGCGGCCAAGAAATTAGCAGTCGATAAGTCCGACACTGCTTCCAAATGGATTGCTTTTGTAGCGAAACAAACAAAAACACATACGTAGCCTTTTGTAATGCGACAGGACCGACCCAGATAGGACTTTATATCAAATGGTCCTGCGAAATCCACACCAGTATTTGTAAATGGCCGATTAAGGGTTGTTCTCTCTTGCGGAAGGGCAGCCATAAATTGACTACAAGAACGTTTCTTCATTAAAATACATACTTTACAACGTCGAACTACGAGGCGAATGAGATTTTTCATACGAGGAATCCAATATTCCAATCTCAAGGTTCTCAACATCAACTAAATATCACCGTGAACGCATTTCTGGTGGGTATATTCTACCAAGCGTAGAGCAAAAGTACTGCGATAGGGGATAATTATGGGATAACGCTCAGAATATGCAAGGGTTGGTGAATCGGCCAATCTGCCGTTCATCCGCATGACTCCATTTTCATCCACGAAAGGATTTAGGGGGGCTAAAGGACTCTTACCACATATCGACTTTGTATCAATTAGATTCTTGTAATCCTCTGCGTAATATACTTTTTGCGCAATAATTATCAACCTACTACGAACATCATTTATTTCCGACGAAGAAATTTGTTTTTGGGGGTAATAATAATGGTTTCTATACCGGGGATGAGTTTGGCGAAGGAACCTAAACACATATGCAAGGATTCGAAGCGCTTTATCCAGATTTGAAAAGTCTGACAATATATCTTCAAATGTAGGCGAAAAGAACGAAAAATGTGAACGAACAGTTCGCATTTCGAGGTCAGTATCTATCGACGCAAGATTTCGAAGAGGCCATTGTGATTTATCTTTACTTAGCCAACTTGGCCCGTGCCACCACAGGCGGGAGGCAGACAATTCTGCCGGGGATGTACCTCGACTACCTAAATCGGCGGGATTTTCCTCAGATTTGACATGGTACCAATTATAATTGCCAATATTTTCCTGTATTCGACTAACACGATTTGCAAAAAACGTTGTCCAAGTGGAGGGGGTTTTCTTTAACCAACCAAGCACTATAGTGGAATCAGTCCAACAATAAATTCTATTGAATTCAATATCTATTTCCCGAACTATAGTTTTCAAAAGACCTGAAGCCAAAACTGCTCCACAAAGCTCCAAGCGAGGCAGCGATACTGATTTTAATGGGGCGACCTTTGTTTTGCACGATAGCAAATTGACGAAAATTTTTCCATCTGGGGACTCAACACGAATATAAACTACCCCCGCATATGCCTTTATAGAGGCATCGGAAAAAACATGCAATTCAGAAGAACATCCAGGAACATAGAACCCATCGAGGGATTCTTATGGAGTTAACATGGGGGTATGATAGCACAAACCTTTTCCATTCGGCCTCAGTAGCCGCCAAAAGCGAATCATCCCAACCAATGTTGTCTAACCAAACCTTCTGCATAATCATTTTCGCCGTAACAATAACTGGGGCTAGCCAACCAACGGGATCGAACAGCTTCGCTATAGCCGAAAGTACTTCCCTCTTAGAATATTTTTGTTTGTCACCAATTGAACAGACTTCAAAGTAGAAACAATCTAAACGCGCATTCCACCTAATGCCCAGGGGTTTGGAACTACTAGCTTCAACAAACGATAACAATTGAGCGTCAACCAAATGTTCAGGGGGGAAACGAGCCAAAATAGTTTTGTCATTGGCGGTCCATTTTCTAAGTTCAAATTTTGCAGAGGAAAGTGCGATTATCAACTGGTCCCTAGCTGCCAATGCAGTTTCGAGGTCGTGAGCTCCTGCTAAAACGTCATCAACATACATACATTTTTCGAAAATATGCGCAGCGAGAGGAAATTCGTTCTCTGAATCATCTGCCAGTTGTAAAAGCGTACGAATTGCTAAATATGGTGCACAATTTACACCAAAGGTCACAGTTTGCAGCTCATAATCTTGGACCTGTTTGGTAATCGAATCACGAAATACAATTCTTTGAAGCGGCGAATGCTGCGGATGAACACGTATTTGTCTATACATTTGAGTAATATCCGAGTTAAACACAAACTTATATACACGCCAACGAAGTATCAGAAGAACTAGATCTTGTTGTAAAGTTGGACCTACGTGCAATATGTCATTAAGACTCTGCCCATTCGAAGTTTTATTCGAGGCATTAAACACTACTCTAAGTTTTGTGGTCTGCTTATCAGGATTGATAACTGGATGATGTGGCAAATAGCAAGAAAGGATGTTTTTAGAAGAATTTACAGGGACCGGTCGCATGTGGCCAAAATCCAAGTATTCCGATAATACTTGATCATAAACTGTTTTTACGTCAGGCCTTTTCAATAAAGAACTCTCATTCCAAAAATATTGTTTGAGAACATTCGCGATTCTCCTAAATACCCGGTAGCACTAAGATCAGTTTTAAGTGGCAGCATAACGATATATCTTCCCTCTAAGTCCCTACGAGTAGTTCGGATGTAATTCTCCTCACAAGTACAATCGGACGGGGATAACATTTGTCTTTTAGGAGTCTCCTCAAGTTCCCAGAATCTCAACAAGGTCCTATTTAGTTTGTCTTCCTCAGCTACGTCAATAGTAGTGGCAAAGGATCTAATTTGTGCAGCAGGGATAGGACCCGTCACAAGCCAACCAAATACAGTGTTTTGAGCCAGTAAAGCTCCAGACAAAATCGGACGACAACCATCTAACAAAATTTGCGGATAAATATCTGCTCCTAATAGCAGATCGACGGGACGAGATTCAAAAAGATTAACATCTGCCAATCGAAGATTAGGAATTTGTGACCTCAAGTCGGAATTGACTACAAACGACGGTAGATTTCCTGAAATAGTCTCCAAGACTAACACGTGACTTTCTAATGCCAGTGAAGAATCTAATGGACTGCTAATTTGAATACGACACGCTTTACTAGACGTGGCCGAAAGCGTACAACTAACTCCTGATATAACAGCATTTGTAGAATATGCAGGAAGTTTCAAACGATTCTGAAGTCGCTCTGAAATAAACGAAGACTCAGAAGCAGGATCTATCAGCGCCCTAGCAGGATACAAAACTCCATGATGAACAATATTCACCATTGCGGTACCTAACAGTACAGATTTGTTCTGCGCAGCGTGAAAAACTTGGCGGGGTGCACATCCAGCCGATGTAGATGGTATGCAATTATCCGAATTAGGGGGAACCGTCACCGAATTAGCACTCGAATTTTGGGGAACATTAGCGGATGTGATGGAAGTTCTAGTAGTACTCGATGTAATATCATTCCTATGTAACAATGTATGGTGGTTCCTGTTACACTTCGAACAACGACGTGTGCTTTCGCATTTCTTAACTTCGTGACAACTTCTAAGACAATTTACGCAAAGATGATGACTTTTCATAACCTTATATCTATCGGAAGGTTGAAGGCTTTTAAAGCGGGGACAGTCATACAATTTATGACGTTGATTGTGACAGATTACACAATTTGAACCATTTGAAGAGCGAGAACTACGCTGGGTTTCGCTTGAATTAGTATTTGAATGATGCGCTTGTACCTTTCTAGAATTTAACCGCTGATCTGTACCACGCATATCATGAAGGCACATGAGGGTACGTATCCGCTCGGTCAAGAAGAGGATTTATCTTTGACGCTTTGCTCCCATAGAGTCTGCGTAAGTTTTGGTAGTCTTTGAAGACATAAAAATACCAAAAAAGGATCCCAATTTTCTGTACTAACATCATAGACAGACATTGACGATAGACATCCATTAATTCCACGTTGGATTGATTTTAATCCCGAACTAGACTCACTGTAGAGTACAGGAATGTCAAATAAAACTTTTAATTGATTATGAACAAGAAGCCGAGGATTGTCATACTTTTCAATAAGAGCCTTCCATGCTAGGGCGAAACTACGATTAATTAGGGGGAATTTTTACACAATCTCGCGAGCTTCACCTGCCGTCTTCCGGACCAAATGACAAAGTCGTTCGACGTCACTTAGACGAGCATTGTTAATGTAAACAGCCGTAAACAAATCCCTAAATGTGGTCCAAGAGTGAAAATCACCTTCAAAAACATCAGTATCGCATGGGGGTAAAGCTAGGTTATGGACACTATCCGAATTAGGATGAGACTCTATATTACCAAGAGTCAAACTATTATTCCCCATCATAGAGGATATCTGAGTTCCGATCTGCGAACCATTTCCGCGAGAACTCTGAGTCGAATCATTCAAATCAATGCGCGTTTCTTGCGGGTTTCCTTTGGACGATTTGGGCGTTTCTATTAACGACACAACTGAACCATTAATGCTAGACGTAGTTGAAGACCTAGAAGACCCTTTAAGCTGGTCTAATTTTCGACAAATGTCCGACTGACAATCTATATAGACTTCAAATGTAGCATTATATTTTTGATCTAACGCATCTATGTCTTCCTTGCTCGTTTCTACTGACGTCATCATATAATCACAGCATTTACCAAACATTTGCTGTGCTCTTTCCCACAATTTTTCTATTCCACTAAGATGGAACTTCAACGAAAATACATCTAGATCTGCATCACGCTTGGTATCAAATTTTGCTTTAAACTGAATGACAGCATCCGAAGCCCTGATAAACATGTCAATTGGCGTGAAGGACATTTTGGAGTTTTTTTTTAACAAGTGTATACTCTATCAACAAATTTCAGCAATAAGTACAAAGTAAAGCACTATATATGTTTGTATTGTTTTACTGTTTTGGGAGCAACATATCCCGGAATACTTGCTTCGGATTCTTTTGGTCCGTGCGGCGTTTGCCAGAACATCATTCACCACAGGTCAGTGTCGGTGAGATGTAATGGGTGCAGGGAGTGGGTGCACTTCAGGAATTGTTCCGGGTTGGCCCGGTTACGAGATTACAGCGATAGGGATTACGTTGCCTCGTGCTGCGACAGCGCAATCCCCAGTGAGTCTTCGTCTACGTCGTCGTCTTCTTCGTCGGAGTACGGAACTCCACCGCAGTCTCCTGAACAGCAACCAAGTATGCAGCACTTAACACCGCACGTTGCTGTTCCCACCCCTGATAGTGCATCGTTTCTGCAATTTAATTGCAACGGTCTCCGAGGAAAAATAGATGAGATAGTGGATTTCATGAATCGGAAGAATATTTTGGTCGCGGCGGTGCAGGAAACCAAGCTCAATGAAAATTGTAGCCTACAGCGTTGTGATGGTTACAACGTTCTGAGGAAGGATCGCACCAGAAGTGGAGGTGGAGGCCTAGCATTCCTTATGCACCACTCTGTTCAATACAGGCCTATCTCGCTTGAGCTTGACTCTAGTGACCCATACATGGAATGTATGGGGGTAGCAGTTAAATGGGTACTGTGGTACTGCCGAGGTAGACTTTCCTTAACCATAGGAAAGCTAACTGGCAAGGTTTCAGAGAGTTCACCAACCAACGCTTCAGAGAACTTTCCATTCCTTCTGGTCATCACTGCTGCAGCTGCTAGATTTATACCAGCTGGTCGAATACCCGAGATGAGACCCAATTTCCCAGCAGAAGCAGTTGGTCTGGCAAACGAGTTAAATGTGGTACTGCCGAGGTAGAGGTGCTTAACGTGTATATACCGCCGATTAACAGCTGTGAACCGCGTTATTTGCCCAACATTAGTTTTCTATTGGAGGGCAATAACCGCCTGGTGCTAGGGGACTTCAATGCCCACCATGAGTTGTGGCATTCCGTCCTAGGTAATGACCAGAGGGGATCAGTGCTGGCAGAGCAAATTGATAGCTCCACGTTTTGCACGGTAAATGAGGATGCCCCCACCAGAATAAGGGGAGAGTGTCACAGTTCGCCAGATATAACCATTGTGTCACCGGGTCTGATAAATGACGTCAGCTGGCAGCCCGTCATTTCTCTTGGATCAGACCATCTCCCCATAATCGTCTCCATCAGCAGACCGCCCGATTTCGTCATCTCTGAACGCCGCACTTTCCTTAACCATAGGAAAGCTAACTGGCAAGGTTTCAGAGAGTTCACCAACCAACGCTTCAGAGAACTTTCCATTCCTTCTGATGTACGGGTAGCAGAAAGGAAATTCCGAGGCATCATCACTGCTGCAGCTGCTAGATTTATACCTGCTGGTCGAATACCCGAGATGAGACCCAATTTCCCAGCAGAAGCAGTTGGTCTGGCAAACGAGCGTGATGAGCTCCGTCGATCTAACCCAGCAGATCCCAGGGTCAGGGAACTCACGTTGGAGGTCAGCAGATTAGTCGCGGAGCACAAGCGGAATAGATGGTTGGAGCACCTGAAGAGTTGCAACATTGGTACCGGAGTAAGTAAACTGTGGGCAACGGTTAAGTCGCTCTCGAACCCTGGTAAAAAGGATGATAGGACCTCAGTCACATTTAACGACGAAACTGTGACTGATCCGAAGAGATGCGCAAGTCATTTTAACCGACAGTTTGTCGAGCATCCCGAGAGCGACAGGGCGAAGAGAAGAGTACTTCGTCGTATAAGATCTCTTCCAGCCGAGGAGGTACCACCACAGTTTACGATGGGTGATGTTGCATATGTCATCCGTAACGCGAAGTCATCTAAAGCGTTGGGCCCAGATGGAATATCTATGTGTATGCTGAAGCAGCTGGACGAGCCGGGAGTCGAGTACTTGACCAACGTCCTCAACTTGTCGATAGCCACCCACGTCGTCCCCGAAGCCTGGACTATGGGCAGGGTGGTCCCGCTACTGAAGCCGGGCAAGGATGCCAGCAAAGGTGAATCGTACAGGCCGATTTCACTTTTGTCGCCAGTAGCGAAGACCCTTGAGGCTTTACTCCTCCCCAGCATTAGAGAAAGCTATCCAGTTGCGGATCATCAACATGGATTCCGTAAGCAACATAGTACAACAACAGCGTTGCACGCCATTTCCACGCATATAAGTAGAGGACTTAACCAGAACCGGCCGTGCGATAGAACAGTGTTGGTAGCGCTTGACCTATCAAAAGCCTTTGATACTGTCAGCCATGCCACGCTGTTTGAGGACATTGAGAACACTTCCCTCCGGCCGAGTTTGAAACGTTGGATAATCAACTATATGTGTGGACGCCAGTCGTACGTGGAGTTCCGGAACAAGAAGTCCAAACCCCGTAGAGTTAAACAGGGAGTTCCCCAAGGTGGAGTGATTTCTCCGGAACTGTTTAATCTCTACCTTTCCGGTATTCCACGCCCTCCGGACGGCATAGAAATCGTTACGTATGCAGATGATTGTACGATTATGGCGTCGGGTCCCATTGTTGAAGACATATGTGTGAGGTTGAACGCATATCTCATCGATTTAGCAGCATTCTTCAAAGCGAGGAATATGAAAATATCCGCCTCGAAGTCGTCAGCCACACTTTTCACCACATGGACTGCGGAGATGAGAATGCCGTTGAATGTGCAGGTCGAGGGGCATACAATTCCGACCACCAACTACCCCAAAATACTCGGGGTCACATTTGACAGCATGTTCAAATCGTCCGCGCATACCACAGCTATCTGCGATAAGCTGAAAAGTAGGAACAAGGTCCTCAAGTCGCTTGCCGGCAGCACTTGGGGCGCAGATAAGGAAACCTTGTTGACCTCTTACAAAGCGATAGGTCGGTCTGTGGCTAGCTATGCGGTTCCAGTGTGGTCTGCGAATTCCAGTGATACGCAATGGAGAAATATTCAGACCTGTCAGAATGCCGCCCTGAGGACAGCGACAGGGTGCCTCCTCATGACACCAGTGGACCATCTTCATGAGGAGACGAAGATCCTTCCCGTACGTCAGCATAGCAATATGCTTTCGTTGCAGTACCTGCTTGGGTGTTTCAGGGACGATCATCCCAACCATTACATGGTGGATAGGACTCCCCCGCCCAGGCGTGTCAGGAAGGATCTGCATGATCTAGAGAGAGAGGTCCAACGATACAAAAGGGAGCCTCTAGATCAAGTTGCCTATCGAGCGGGTCTGAATGGCATTCATACAGATGCAGTAGCCGCAGCGCTGAACGGTTACAAAGTGAATGCCGTCCTCGGAGCTCACCCCCCACCCATAGCAGCTGAAGAACGTCAGCTGCCCAGACAAACCAGAGTAGTTTTGGCTCAATTACGTTCTGGATGGTGCAGTCGGCTCAATTCGTATTGGGCACGGATTGATGACCAGGTGCTAGATGTCTGCCCAGCATGTGGTACAGGCCCTCATACCACACTGCACTTGTTCAATTGCCCAGCCAAACCTACTCACCTTACTCCGGAAGATTTGTGGCTACAGCCAGTGGAGGTAGCTGCATTCCTAAATCTGGAGACAGAACTGGAGGAAACATAACAGGAAACATTCAATACATATAAACTGCTACAACAACACTTGTAAAATGTTAAGTACTGAAGTGAATTAGTTCTTCCAAATGATGACGGTTATTCGATTTGAGTACATCAGGTAAGTTGTTGAATATTTTGAAAAAGTTATAATTCTGCCTTTGGGTCTCGTATTTTTTGCAGTGGAAAATTAGATGTTTTTCGTCTTCGATGACTTCACATAAATCGCAGAGATTTGAGTGCGGAATGCCAATTCTATGAAGATATTTTTTACTGTAAGTATGTCTACAAAAGAGCCGATTGATGATTTTGATATTTTCAGGTTTTAGACTTGACGTTTTGTACCATGGTACTTTCGACGGTTCTGGGAAAAATTGGGAGAAGTATGTGCCTTTGAACAGTGATATATCTTTATAATGATCTTTAAATTCCATCCATAGGTTTGAATCAATTCTTTGATATGCATCCGTTACCGAAAGAGAGAGAGGAATGATACTTCCACAATCTGCTGCGTATTTGGCATAGTAGTCAGCAGTTTCATTTGGAGAAATGCCTACGTGGGACGGTGTCCATACAAAGGTCACTTTGCTGATGTTGGATTGCATGACTTTGCGAATGATGCTGTACACAGTATAGTTGTGTGATGAATTATTTCTGAGAAGAAGACAGGCATTTTTGCTGTCGGTGAGAATAGCTGCAGTGCTTATTTCCTCCTCTATGATGATATCAATCGCTTTCTCAATGGCATGTAGTTCACCCGTTAACGATGACACTTTTTCTGGGATTCTGAATAGAAAAACATGATTGGACGAAATATTACATACTGCGCAGCCAGTGTTGTTAAAATTGACAGAGGCATCTGTGGCCCATATCGATGTTCCTTCTGACTTAAAATCTGCCAGCATTTTATTATAAAATGCTTTTAAGCATTCTCCAGCGACGTTGCTCTTTGTGTTGAAAGGATTGTTTAATTTAAAATCAATTTTTCCTGATGAATCCCATTTGTAACCAATTTGCAAATTATCAAAAATATTCTGGAACTTTGTATAAACATAACCAATGCTTGTTTTAATCGATGGATTTTGGGTAAAATATTCAAACAGAGAAAAGTTATAAATTTTAAGTCGGATTAATTCTTTGGATGCTAACAGTTGAGCTCTTAAATCCGTCGGTAGAATACCAGCAAGGGCACATACGACATGATTTGGTGTGGAAGGTGCAAGACCGAGATTTCTTCTTAAAATTTGATTTTGAAATGAAGTTATTTTTTTATTGATGTAAGTCGGTCTATGTGCCATGGAAGAAATGGCATATTCGGTTTTGGAAAATAATAATGATTTAGATAGATTTACTGCTTTTGCAGGGTGAATTCCATGTTTCGGTCCAGTTATCATTTTTAGTGCATTAAGGGTATTTTTACACGACGACATAACATCTTCGTAGTGTTCCTTCAGAGAGAGACTGTATTTTATATTCCTGCCTAGAAATTTTATAGATTTGACCACTTTGACGGGGTTTCCATTAAACATGATAAGAGGATTTTTCCTACCTCCTTTGGCAACATACATGACTGATGTCTTTTCAACGTTTATTTCTAGATTTAGCTTTTGTAATAAGGTTACAAAAGAAGAGGCTTTCCGCTGTAGTATTTGATTAGCACTTTCGAAATTAAAGCTGCTTACTAGCAGTATGAAGTCGTCTGCGTACTGAAACACCTGTGTATTCTCATCAGACAATCCGTGAAGTCCTAAAGTGTATAGGTTAAAAAGAGTTGGGCTTAAACAGCTCCCCTGTGGGATTCCATTAAAAATATACTTAGTAGAATTCCCCATATGCAGTGATCTTTTACATAAAAAGTTGGAGATCCAAAGTGTAATTTGTTCAGGAATATTGATTTGTTCTAGAATTATGCGAAGGCAATTAACATCTACCAATTCGTATGCTCTTGAAACATCCATAGAGAGAATTAACACTTTATTATTTTCTTTTTGTAAATTGATAGTATGTAGAAGATCATTAATACATGTTGATGTAAATACGTGTTTCCTGTAAGCATACGATCTCGCAGGAAGAATATCATTTTCATCCAGAAAATACCATCAGGTTGATTATTTTAGTCAAAACGGAAATTAGAGCTATGGGTCAAAAATTAGTGGGAATTTCAAGATTTTTACCTTTCTTTGGTATGGGAATAATTTTAATTTTCCTCCATTCCTCTGGGAAATTACAATTACTCCATAATTTGTTAAATGATTGTAAAAGGTTTCGTTTACTCTCGGGAGAGAAGTTGTTTACCATTTCGTACGTTATACCATCCAGGCCAGCTGCAGATGGTTTTTTCTTCTGTTCTAGTACGTATTCTAATTCTTCCATTGAGAAATCCGCGGAGTGTTTATTGAAAGTCGATTTGGTTAGGATAATATTGTTATTCGGAACTTGGTCGCAAATGTGCTGCAGAAACATATTATTGTCGGCGCACCACTTAGAATTATTTTGAGGTTCA